ATCATATTACAGTAACTAGTGCTTTTCTGGCAGATACCATTTCTGATCGTTCAGCACTTTTCAGTTTCCGGCCGCTCCTTCATGTGGCAGTTTTTAGAAACGGCGGTTCACCAGCTGACCAGTCAGTCAACTGCTCTACTTTAATAAATCATTCATGTTCAAGAGGTGCCCAGAATTTTTTCATTCTAGGTTTTGGAATCGCTCAAGTGAAGCATGAACAGACGAGAGGAAAACTCATGGATTCAACTATGTGTTGTATATGCCCATTGTTTATTTGCTTTCTGTCACCTCCATTTTTTATTATCTTACGTTACTCTGTAACTGTCATAACTGCGCTCAGGAATTGTTCTAACATCACCCTTTTTCTATAAAAGATGCGCACACAAGTTTCGTAGCTCACTGTAAAAGTTAAAAGAATTAACCAACTTGACGAAGATACTGTATGAAAAATAGTCTTACTAACTTTGAAAATGTTATCATATTTTGAATAAATATTTAAGCGCGCAATAAGTTCTTATTTCCAGCTTTTCTTAACCCAAAATTTTTGAGTTTATATGAATTTGGCGTTTTTAGGTGCTACAGAATATTGTCGTTTGTTCATTTTCAAGACTAATTACGTTATATGATATACGCACGTGGTTTTTCTCTAAACCTTTATTTCATCAGCTAATTCTCAAACAGATTATCTGTGTTGTCAAGAAAAGCCCTTTCTGCATTGCAAAAGAAAAATTGTTCATTGTTTTTCAAATCACTTGAAATGGTAGCCTCAAACACCAATACTGAAAATTGAAAAAAAAATTTCAACGTATTAGTGAAAGAAAAATCTTTTGTCAAGTTAAAAAAGCATTAAAAAAGAAGGTTGTTAGCAAAATAATTTTTGAATATTATATCTTAAATCTGTCTATCAACCGCTTCCTTCATAACTTCATAACTGCACAGGTGAGTGGCTCGAATGTCATTTAAGATTACCATAGTAGCTGCAGAAAAGTTCTTGACATAGTGTTAGGCGGTAATTCATCTGCCGAGCATAGTTTTGGCTCAGTTCCCGCTTATTTCACTTCAACACAAAACTGCTTTTTGGCTTGCATTCCATCTCGTCAATGGCTGGTTTCAAATTAAGTCTACCAAAGAGTAAAGCGAAGATCACTGAGTTATAGAAGGTTCTTTCACCTTCGAATTTTGATTGAAAACGAGATCTGTGAATGAAATGTACGTGTAATCATTGCTACCCATGCAAAGCTATCTAAAAACTAACGAAACAATCTGTATTCGTTTCCCTTTTTTTGTATTTAAGTACTGTTCATGCAAAATCTTTTGCACCAAGAAATTTGAAACTGATTAGATTTTTGTTGACTTGCAGACTAGTAATGTTTTTCTATTTATCATTCATCGTTCATATCTGTTGTCTGATCACATGGAATATTATCAATTTTTGAAGCGCAGATGGAGTGCATTGGGCAGTCACAAGATAATATTTTAATAAGAAACATAAAGCAATCAAACACCTTTATACCTATATAAAAGAGGCTAGCAAACTAGTAGGTACTTTCATTCCGTAGCCCGACGGGAACATCATGGTAATACTTTTCGTAATTTACGTTTTATCGTTAGGATGTGGGATTCACCCGGGAGTCGAAATGATTGGCTTCTACGTAGTTTGGGCACATATCAATTTCAGATATGTCTACAAGTACTGCTGGCTATCTGCTATGCTATGGCTTTGAGAGCTATCTCAGTAGGTGAGTATTGCCCATTTTTGAAATCCATAATTACAAAGAGGGTCATTTGAACTTTACCAGTCACAATTATGGCATCAGAAATCTTTTTACAGCCGATATCAACGAGCGTCCCACTTACGAATCCACCAAACATTTAGAAGGCCACATAGTTCATA